TACATTTTATGAAGTGAGCGTATCCTCCATACCAAAACCAGGCAAGAACATCACTAGAAGAGAAAATTACACACCAATATCCCTCATGAACATAAATGCAAAATTTTCAATGAAATCCTGCCTGATAGAATTCAACAACATATCAAAAAATGAGACATCATGACCAAGTGGGATTCAAATCATGGATGCAAGGATGGTTCAATATTAGGAAAATAATCAACATAATCTTACATATAAATAAAAAAAAGAAAAAGAACCACACGATCATACTGATCAATGCAGAAAGGCACATGACAAAATCCAACATCCATTCTTGATAAAAACGCTCAACAAAGTAGGAATTGCAAGAAAATACCTCAACATAATTAAGAGCATATATACAAATCCATCAGCCAACATTACTCTCAATGGAGAGAAACTAAAAGCATTCCTTTTGTGAACATGAACCAGATTACAGGTGCCCTTAATCCCACTCCTATTCAATATTGTCTTGGAAGTCTTAGCTGGAGCTATAAGGCAAGAAAGGGAAATTAAAGGCATTCAAATTACAAAGAAAACGTAAAACTCTTTCTATTTGCAGATGATAGTTTCCTATACATTGAAAATCCAAAAGACTCAGTAAGATAATGATTGGAATGGCAGAGTATAAAGATTAGCTAGATTCATCTATACTAAAAAAGACAGCTCTGAAAAGGAAATTAGGAAAACAATACCATTTATGATAGTCACACCATAGATGAAATACTTAGGGATAAAAATAATCAGAGAAACAAAAAACCTAGACAAAGAAAACTATAAAATACTACTACAAGAAGACAAAAGAAATTTATAAAAGTGGAAGAATATACCATGCTCATGAATAGGAAGACTAAACATTGTGAAAATGTCTACACTACCAAAGGCAATCTATAGATATATTGCAATCCCAATCTAGAGTCTAACATCATTCTTTAGAGATAGGGAAAAAATTATCACAAACTTTATATGGAAAGCAAAAAGACCTCAGAAAAGCCAAGTACTGCTTAAGACAAACAAAGTTGGAGGTCTGTCCCTCCCTGATCTCAAAATTTACTACACAGTCACAGTGGTCAAAACAGCTTGGTATTGTACAATGAAAGATACATGGATCAAGGTAGAGAATTGAGAATCTAGTAGTAAATCTATCCACATAGTCAACTGATCTTTGATAAAGGGCGAAAACACAATGAACGGGGAAGAGATAGTCTATTCAACAAATGATGCAGGCAAAACGGAAAACTGATTTGCAGAATGAAACAAGGCCCATATTTCACACCATATAGAAAAATAAACTCAATACGGATTAAAAACCTAAAAGTAAAATACAGAACTATAAAGAACATCAATGTAAAAACAGGGACAAACTTAGGTGCTCTAATACATGACATACATACACTACCAAACATTACAAAAAACATCCAAACAGTGGAAGACAAAATACTAGAAACTTAGACATTTTACTTTCTAAAAATTAGAAACACATGTGAACCAAAAGACTTCACCAAAGAGTAAGAAGGAAGCCCACAGACTGGGGAAAACTGTTTTACAACAACATATTAAACAAGGTACTAGTATCTAAAATTTACAAAAAACTACAACACCTTTACAAGAAAAAGATTAAAAAAAAAAATTAAAAAGTGGACATAAAACATGAACAGACACTTCAGCAAGAAGACATTTGGGCAGTTAACAAACATTTGAGGAAATGTTCACAATCATTAACCACTGTTGTTGCTGTTGTCAAGTGCTGTCGAGTCGATTCCGACCCATAGTGACCCTGTATATGGTTTCCAAGGAGTAGCTGGTGAGCTTGAACTGCTGACCTTGCAGTTCAAACGGCTTTGCAGTCTGGCGCATTAACCCACAGTGCCACACCAGGACTCCATGTTAACCACTAGAGAGATACAAATCAAAACAAATGATGTAACATATAACATCTCACACCATTAAAAGTGACATTAAACAAAAAAATGCTGCTGAGGGTGTGGAGAGACTGGTACCCTACTACACGGCTGGTGGGACTGTAAAATGGATCAACCACTCAGGAAAATGGTATGGCACTTCCTCAGAAAGTTGGGAATAGAAGTATTTTATAGTCCAGAAATCCCGCTATTTGGTATTTATCTACAAGAAATACGAGCCATAACATCAGTAGATAGATATATGCATACTCATGTTCATCGCAGCACTATTCACAATAGCAAAACATGAAGGCAGCCTAAGTGCCCATTAATGGAAGAATGGATTAACAAACTTTGGTACATAACACACAATGTAATACTATGCAACCATGATGAATAATGATGAATCTGTCAAACACTTCATAACATGAATGTACCTGGAGGACATTATGCTGAGTGAAATTAGTCAATCACAAAAGGACAAATATTGTGTGAGACCATTATTGTAAAAGTTGAAGAAAAAGTTTTCATACTAAAAGAAGCATTCTTTGATGGCTATCAGAGTAGGGAGGGAGGGGAGAGTAAGTGACTGGCTAGAGGGTACACACATGTTATCTTGGGTTACTGGGTCTACAGGTAAGAAAGAAACTGGAGGAACCTCTACCACCCTTCAGGTCTGAAAAGGAACTCACCAATTTTCAGCCAAATAATTAGATGGGTTTACTGAGGGGGGGGGGAGGGGAGGACAACAACAAGCAATGGCAAGGTATGCTCACCATGGAATAGTCAATAATTTAAGATCAAAAGGGTAACAATTTTCCTAACGACAATGTTGGGAAGGGATAGGAAGGGAGGTGGAATGCAGGTAGGAACCAAAGGAGGGAAGCAGGACAACTGTTGTTGCACGGAGGGGATTATAATCACTGAGATGAAACAGAGTGTATAATTTATTCCCAATACACAATAAAAAGTTAAAAAATAAAATAACTGAAAGTAAACATGGTAGACACACTGATATATGTATGGTATATACTTAGTACAGTTTAGTAAGTATATAAACATGGTATATACTTGTTTCATGTGTTAAACATCATTAATTTTTTCCTTTTTTTTTTAGTGATTATAAAATATTTCATTTACTAATTACTATTTAATATCCAGAGTCCTGGTGTGGTGCTGTGGATTAATATGCTAGACTGCAAAATCAGTTTGAACCACAAGGTCAGCGGTTCAAACTCATCAGATGCTACTCAGAACCCCTATACAGGGTTGCTATGGGTCAAAACCAGCTTGACAGCACTTAACAACGACATTTAATATCCAATCTAGTACTGATGAGCATTTTTAGATTTAAATTTTTCTTTTAAGTATTACAAATAATGCTACAATAAAAATTCTTGTATATTCATCTTTTTACATTTCTGTGGGATGAAGTAGTGAATATTTAAAATTCTGATACATTATTAAATCCCATTGAAGTGTGGTAGTTATGTTTTCAGTAGAATGAGTTTATTGGAACTCTTGATACCGTGTTTTATCAATTTTCTAGATCTGGAGTTCTGGTGTGACGCTGTGGATCAATGTGTTGAACTGCAAAGTCGGTTTGAACTGCAAGGTCAGCAGTTCAACCTCAACAGCCACTTCTCAGAAACCCTATATAAGGTCATTATGGGTCTGAACCAACTCAACACTACTTAACAACAACAGTCAATTTAATAAGTAGATATGATCCCTACAATTATGTATTTAAACCTTTCAATCTATCTCTTAATAGTTTCAAAGTTTCACGCTATACTTATAAAAAGTCACCCACCCATCATAAAAGGTTCTTTTAATGTATTTATGGTTTGTTTCTTATCATTTAAATATTTCATCCACTTGAAACTTATTTCAGTGGAATGAACAAAGCCCTAATCCTTTAAAATGTGGATAGCAAAGGGGTGAGATGCTGCTGTGAAGTGCCACTGAGTCAGTTCTGACTCACAGAAACCGTGTATAGGGTTCCCAGGAGTGGCTGGTGAGTCAAGTGCTTATCCTATGGGACCACACCAGGACTGAGACAGTCTAGCAAAAATTACTGTGAAAGATGGCAATTCCAAAAATTACCCTAAAGAAAAGTTACTGTAAATATAATCTATAAAAGTTTCTGGAATTTGCATACTTAACTGAAATATTAAACAATAAAGGAACATATTGATTCCCTTTTAAATGAGTCTAGCTACAAAGGGAAACAATTTAGATATTAAAATTTCCTATTTAAAAATGAAGATACCTAGGGACTTGATACCAGAATGAATAAAGACTTTTTTTGTAACTGTACTACCAATTCTAATTGAGGTGCCACAGGAAGAAAAGGGCTTAATGGCTTTACAAGCTTTTAAAAGCATTGGATTTCTTGGCAACTTTTAATTTAACAGCACAACTTCATTACCTGAATTTCAATATCAACTCATGAATAATAAATAGTAAAAGTGCCTGCTAGTGAACAGAATGGTCTAGACTATTTAAAGGAAAAAAACAAAAACAAAAAACAACAACTAATAACTGGTAATACCCAGTAAGTCACTTAAAAACACAAAAAGCAGTTATTCATGCTACAGGTTCAATGGTAAATGTGAATACATTTTACACCATGTGACTTGAATATAGCTTTGCTCATTAGACTAAGATTTCACAATCCAAGCTATTCACTTCAAGTATATAGTTTGGCTCAACTATCCAATTAAAAAAAAACAAACCTACACTACTGAATTATAATGAATGTTTATAAAAGGAGACAATCAAGCAAAGAACATGCATTTAAATCATTATGAACTTAAAAAAAAAAGGACTTGTTTTAAAAGATATTTTGCTTTTTAATTAAAAAGCACTTTTGTCTAAACATTTTTTCACTGCAATCGTTTACAAATGGGTGTAGACAAAACAAAACTCATTTTTAAAAGCTGGACTTAATATTCATATTTCAGATCCCCTTGCTGAGAGCAAAATAATTATGTAAAAATAATTTTTTAGTGATAAATGTTAACAGGCTACTTAATATAGAAATAAATCATTCCATATATATACAAAATCACTCCATACCTCTTGTCAGCAAGATCTGTTTTATTTCCTACTAGCATGATGATAACATCACTTCCTCTTTCTGTTCTGACATCATCAATCCATTTTGTAGTTTGCTGGAATGAATTAACATCTGGTGTAGGAGGGTGGACAGAGAGATTAGGGCTATTGCAAATGCCTCCTCAAGTAACTGATTCTCCCAATCCAAAAAAAAAAAAGCCCTGAAAGTTGGAAGAGGTCTGGCACATTAGGACCCCACTTTTAATGTGCCTGCAACATGACTCCATTTTATCTGATGACAACTGTCAATGATCTAAAGCAATCATAAAGGGAAAAAACGTCTCAAAGTACCTTTTAGAGTTTAAAAAGTTTTAGACATGACCAAATAATTGTAATACACTTGGGAGACAGGGATTTTTTTTTTTAATTTAAGGACAGTTATGTGAGATAATATGGTATCACATTGCCACAATGCTTTTTTGATCACTTACACATACCAAACATGACAAAGAAAGCATCTCCAAAAGTATGTCAGCCAGTAAGTCCCAAAACATCCAGAAATTCTGTAGGCTTTAAATAGCTTTTCAACACCACTTAGTTTGCACTGCTTACTTAGTTTGTGATCACTTTAACTTAGAGAAGTTCATTAGTTTAATGTACCACAATCACTTGCAACAAAATCCATGTTCTCTAGTGTTGGATTCTAAGTAGAGTATGTCAACACTTTTTACAGGCACTGAAGAAAACAATTTACTGATATTATTTTAACCACATTTATGTAATTTTTTTAAAAAGAGAAATACCCAGGTTTCACTTGCTATAGTTAAAGTAAGCACAAACATTTTAAAGCTGCAAAACGTGTCAATGTACAATAATGAACATTTTTTTAAACAAGTGAAGCTGCAAGAAAAGACTGCATATAGCACGTATCAAAAAAAAAAAAAAAAAACAGCCCCTTAAGTGACAAAATTCTAATTCTCCCATGGCAATTATTAAGTAAGCATGACTTTTCAATGATCAGATATGAAAAATATATAGTAACAGTAGCATTCGTTCAAATCAATAGTGCCTTTATTTTAAAGTTATGGAAACTATACTAAGCTGGACTATACTATATGGAATAGTACTTAATATTCCTTAATTCATGTCCTAAGCCAATGTACAAATTAATTTCAATCAGAGAGCATTTCCTCTCAGTCACCAATGAAATGCATGGAAAATTTACACTCACTTAAAATGCCAGAGACATTATTTAGTCTATGGTGGTGGTGGTGGTGGTGATGTGCCGTGGAGTCGGAACCGATTCATAGCGACCCTGTACAGGGTTTCCTAGGCTGTAAATCTTTATGGGAGCAGAATGCCTCATCTTTCTCCCGTGGAACAGCTGGTAGTTTCGAACTGCTGACCTTAAGGTTTGCAGCCTGATTTGTAACCACTACGCTACCAGAGCTCCTTCTAAAATAAAAAGAGAAACCATTATTTATGTGGTCTCTCTCTATTTTTATCTTGGTGAGAATTGAAAATATAATTTATTAACCAACAAAATAAATCAGTCTTAGTCAATGAAAATGATTCATTCAAAATAGTGCATTTATCTTTTTTTCTGACTTTCTCTCTATATAGAGGTTGGCAGGAAAGGGTAAGCAGAGTAAAGCTGACTAGCGGAAGCTTTTAATAGCCACAACAGAGGCCTTGGAAGAGTTGGGAAACTTGGCAAGAGGCTTAAGAGCACACTTTTATTTTAGAAAAATCTGAAATCAAGTTAAATGAAAAAAAAAAAAAAAAAAAAGACATTTTTTTCCACTACGATGATGGTATGGCTTGGTGGTAACAGGATAATTTTAAGGGAGGATTCTTAATTTGACTTGATTGAAAATTTCTGAGAGAAAATAATCTAATGGCATAGAAATAAAGCATACTGGCACAAATACCAAAGTAAATATTTATGACATGGCTGGTCAGTGATAAGATTTGCTCTATTTTTACATGCCATCATGAAAAACAAGCACAAGACAAGAACAAGCATGCAGCTAAGCTAAAGGTTAAAGGAAGATTAAAAATGCATAATTCCCCCCACTCACTTGTGATATCATAAACAACAACTGCCACAGTGGAGTCACGAATGTAGCTAGGAATCAAGCTCCTGAACCGTTCTTGACCTGCTGTGTCCCATAATTGCAATCGTACCTAACAACAAAATCAGTCAAACAAGCAAGAAAAATAAGAGAGGTCAACCCATTTCAAAATACCTACTTGTGATATCGTAAACTACTACAGCTGCAGCAGAATCACGGATGTAACTGGGAATGAGGCTACGGAAACGTTCCTGACCCGCAGTATCCCACAGCTGCAGCCTGATCTGTGGGATGGGAAACAATAAATAACAACAAAAAAAACCCCAAAAAACTAATACTAAAAAGAAAAGAAGAAAAAAATAATGCTTTTAAAAAGGGGAGGGGAAGGAAGGGAGGCAGAAAGGAGATTCATGCAAAAGGCCAGAAGTGTGACATATAAAAATAACACAAAATTTTCCTTTTTCAAAGGGATTATTTTTAAATGCTGCTCGCTTGGTAAGTAAATGATTGAAAAATGGCGCTGGGAAAGATTTCACAGCATCAAAAACGTGGCTTTCCCTTTTGTCCTTCCTGTAATCACTCTTTAAATCTATGCCTTCCAGATGACAAAAAGTAAACTCTGTCGGTGTTCAAACAGTAAGAATGAGAGAAAAACAAAGGAAAAAGTCAATGAGCAGTCCAGGATATAAGAGTAAAGGAATCACTGTTTTTCTTAAAGACTTTTCAAAGCTAAAATATGTCCCTTTCCTACTGGGTCAAGAATACTTTGAAGTAGGGCCCTGGCTTTTTTGCTTATGTTTCACCCATACATTTCTCTCTAGAACATTCCATACCCATTGCCATCAAGTGGATTCCAGTTCATAATGACATAAGTTATTAGAACATTCCATAGTCTCACACACACACAAATCTTTTTATAAGTCTACATGAAGTAATTCCTTTCTTACTTTCTCAAATCTATATTAAGGGAATAAAATCCTGAAAATAAGTATCAAACTATCTTATCATTATAAAGCAGTTCTCAAATTTTCAAACTTTAAAAATGACATGCTATATATTAAAACACAAAAGAGAACATCTGAAAGAACAAAACTCACACACTGATTAAACAAAACAATTTTTCTTAGGTATAGGTCTCAAGATTTTGTGTTTAGTCTTCAATGCATAGTGGGTTAGCTATTTTTCAAAGGAGGACAGAAATTACACTGTATTTATGGGTAATATTCCAAAGGATATGAAAAAAGATATGACAATTAAATATATGTTACTATTCACAGTCTAATTTGGTATACATTGTATTCTGAAAGGAAAACTTAATAGTTCACAACTTAATATTCAAATGAAATCTTCCTGAAGAGTAGCATTAAAAAGGTCTTTAGCAGCTCTAATTTCTTCAGAAAAATTATCTTTTAATTATTTCCTAACCTTACGTATTATCACATTTCCAAATAAGATGGATTGGCACAGTGGCAGCATCAATGGACTCAAGCATAACAACAATTGTGAGGATGGTACAGGACTGGGCAGTATTTCGTTTGATGTGCACGGGGTCGCTATGAGTTGGATTTCACTTTGGGATAAGAAACCAGAACAGTAGGTATTATTAACTATGTAATAACAGTTTCCCTAGACGCCTGAAAACTTACTTTAGTTTTCTACCCTAAGTGTTGCAGAAAATTGCACACTAAAAACATTACTCACTGTTCGATCTTCCAAGTACATTGTTTTTGATAAAAAGTCAATGCCAATTGTTGCCTACAAAAGAAAACAACACAAAGAAGTTAACAAATATTTTAATGGCAGTCAACAGTTCAAGGTTCAAATAGAAATTCATCAAAGTCACGAAAGAAAGAACAAAATTTCCAGTCATAATAGCATCCATCTATTAAATACCTACTGTGTGTTAAGGATTGTTCTAAGACTTAAAATCATCTCCAATCCTATGCTATTTAGAGACCAATCCCTGAAGGAGATCATGGTTAGTAAAGTAAGGGTATGTGGAAAAGAGAAAGACCCTAAACAAGATGGACTGATACAGTAGTTGCAATAATAGACTCAATGATTGTGAGGATGGAGCAGGACCATGCAGTGTTTTGTTCTGTTATACACAGGGTTGCTATGAGTTGCAATCAGTCCAATGGCAGCCAATAACACCATCAAAAAAAATTCTTAGGTATCTTTGCAAGGCAACCATTATCATCACAATTTTTCACATGAGGATGAAAAAAATAGGGATAAGAACACTGGGGTTCAGAGATGCTAATTAACTGGCCTATCAAACAGCTTCTATTGTGGAGTTGAGATTGTTTGACTATAAAGTTCAGCTATTCTAATCCATAGGTGGAATATATTTAAGATATTATTTTGGCCTTGGTGGATTTGTTTTAATTTTCTTCAGTTTCAACCTTGTACTGAATGGTGATGTGGAGCTTTACCATGACTAGTTCCACAAATATAACCTGTATATTCTGTCCCAAAGGATCCACATGTACAGTCACTATTTATGTTATTGAAAAAAGTATTTGCAATGTGTAAGCTATTGCTCTTGCAAACTTTTAGTATGCAATCTATCACCAAGACCGTATTTTCTAACTACCAATTCTTCCTGTTTGTTTCCAACTTTCACATTCCAACCACCAGTAATATTAATACATCTTGACTGCATGTGTGATCAGTTTCAGCATGAAGGAAGTGGGTTGTTGTTGTTGAACTCTGCTCCATCCTAGTCACTAGGGTTGACTCATTCTACTTTGAGTCCTTCCAACCTGAAGGATTCATCTTTTGGCATTATATATCAGACAGTGTTTACTGCTATTAGTAAGATTTTCAGTGGCTAATTTTTCAGAAATGGATTGCTGCTTTCTTCTTCCTACCTTTTCTTAGTTTGGAAGTCCTGCTGAAACTTGTCCACTACCGATTAACCCCACTGGTATTTGAAGTGTTGCTGGCATAGCTTACAGTATCACAGCCAAATGCAAGCCAACACAGTAAGAGAAGCTGACAAACAGGTGGTGGGATCAAATCATACCATCATTAGAACCCTACTATAAGACTAAATAAACAAATTTCTAATGACTTAAAACATTCCATTGGCCACCCAAACCCATGAAAAGATGCTTAACATCATTAGCCATCAGGGAGATGCAAATCAGAATCACAATGACAAATCATTTCACTCCCACTAGGATGGATACTACTAAGTGCTAGGTTAGCATCTCAAACACATCAGTCACGCTTTGGAAGAAAGATGAGTCTTTCTGACCCCATAAAGATTCACAGCCTCAGAAACCCTAGACAAGAGTCTTGAGTCAGAATTTACCCGATGACAGTGAATTTGGTTTTTGGAGGATAAATAGTAAGATTTGTGTTTTTTTAAAAAAGAAAATAGATAATGTTAAGAAGATGTGGGAAAACAGGAACCCATATCCATTGCTGAGATGAATGCAAAATGGTACATACAGCAGCTGTGAAAAACTGCAGTGCTTCCTCAAAACACTAAAAATATATAATCCAACCATTCCAGTCCTAAGTATAAACCGAAAAGACATGAAAGTAGAGACTTATACACCAATGCTCACTGTGGCACTATTCACAATAGCTTAAAGTGGAAATCACCACTACCTAAAAGCTCATCAATGGATAAACAGATAAATCGAATGTGATGAATATGCATGACAGAACTACTCAGCCAGTATGGGAAAATCTTGATGCATGGTACAGTATGGATGCAGCATACTGTTATGACCTCACTTATATAAAAAGAAAAGAAAAGAAAAGAGATGGTGTCCTGGTATGGTGCTATAGGATAAGTACTGGACGGCTAACCACAAGGTTGGTGGTTCAAATCCACCAGCTGCTCCACGGAAACCCTATACAGGGTCATTATGAGTCAGAACCTATTTGACAGTACTTAACAACAAGAGAAACAACAAGGGTACAATGTAAGGGAAAATAGGTTACTCCTTATGGAGTACTGATTTTTGGTTTATAATGTTGAAAAATTGCATTGATAAGGGTAGGGTTACACAACTGACTATTATCATTGCTACCAATAAGCTATAAAAATTCGAATTGCAAAGAGTTGTGGAATATTTACAACAGCAACAAAAAGTACCTGCTTGGAGGTCCCTGGGACCATCAAGGGAGAAGAGCGTAGAGCAGGACCCTATCCAGAGACGTGACGCCAGAGATGGAGGCAGAGACGATGAGTGGAGAGATGGAGCAGCTGGGGACTTTAGTCCCAGAGAGGAAGAGGGGCTGTGTGCTGATGACTGGGGGGACCAGGTTTGCAGGGTATACCCTTTGGTTGGTTGATGATGCATGGAGGGGATTGTAACCATGGCAATGAAACGACATTCGATAGGAAGAATGTAAAGCTAATGTTCTCTCATATAAACTATCATATAATTTGCAATAAAACAGTTAAAAAGAGAGAGAGAGAGAGATGGGCATTAACCAAATCATCGCATGAAGAAAAGTATTACAAATTGTCTCCGTATGTGTATAAATATATCTGAATTTTAACATGTAAAAAAATAGTCTGCCTTGAACACATGCTCTTTTAAGACCTATCTATTGTTGTCAAGTGCCTTTGAATAGGTTTCTACCCATAGAGACCCTGTATAGGGTTTCTAAGGAGGGTTGGTGCGCTTGAAACACCAACCTTGTGGTTCAAGTCGACTTTGCACTCTAGCATATTAACCCATAGAGCCGCACCAGAACTCCAAGACCAATCTATATAAGATCAAACTGACACTAAGAACTCAAAAAATTAGATAGGCAGCTTAGGTAGCAGTATGAGTTTGTTAATGGGGGAGGAACAAGGAACTACTTAGAAAAAGGTGAGAATACTTACATGTCTCAAAGGATGTAATTAATGTCACCAAATTATTTGTGCAGAAATGTTCTATAGTTTGAAACAGTATAACATTCATATTAATTGCATAAAAGCATGGTACTTCAGCAAAAACACCTGACTAAGAAACTGTGTCCTGCTGAGGCATCAGGTGTAAAGATAAGCTGCTAACTACGGGTTTGGTGGTTCCAACCTACCAGCCACTGCTTGGAAACCCTATACAGGGTGGCTACGAGTTGTAACCAACTTGAGGACACTTAACAACACAACAAGAAACAGAAGGATAGAAAATAGTGGTCAGAGAAAAGAGTATTTGAACCAATGATTTCTTGGAAAAGACCTAACTGCTGATGACAATGACTATGGGAATAGGTAAGGCCTTGATGAGGTCATGCAAATGATCTTCTACAAGCACATAGGTGCCTAGATCACTGACAAGCAAGAACAGAGAGGGTTATTTTAAACCAAGTACTAAGGTCTTCAAGAACTCCTGATGCGGCACTGTAGGGTAAGTACTCAACTGAGAAACACAAGGTTGGTGGTTCAAACTCACCAGCTGTTTCTCAGAAACCTTTACATGGTTGTTACAAGTCAAAACTGACTCGATGTCATGTAACAACAAAAATAACAAGGTTTTCAAAGGAATAAGTAGGAAAAACAAGAAAGAAGCCATTTAAATAATTTTTCTCTAAATGGTAAATGACAATAATCACAAAACAGTACAGCCTTTGTTCTTCAAAAAGGAAAAAACAACCACTTTGCATAGAGATTACTATTCTCACTTTGTAACAGAAAACAGGGACTCTGAAAAATTAAGTGGGTTTTCTAGAAAGAAAATACCCAAATTTTCAAGAATTTAAATAAAAACATATTCCTGAAGTAAAATAAGTATTTCAAGTGTAGGAAAATATACTAAAAAGGAAAGGATTCAGATATAAAAATTTATCCTAAAAGATTCCCATTTTTCCCATTAAAACAAGACAAAATAAAAACACAAAAACAAGATTTGATAAATAATTAAAATAGTGGCAGCTACCAATAAGGAAGAAGTCCTGGTGTGGCACTGTGGGCTAATGCACCAGACTGCAAAGCCTTCTGAACTGCAAGCTTGTTGTTGTTTTAGGTGCCATCGGGTCAGTACTGAATCATAATGACCCTATACACAACAGAATGAAACAATACCAGGTCTTGCGCCAACCTCACAATTGTTGCCACGCTTGAGCCCACCAATGTTGCAAAATTGGCAATCCACCTTGCTAGGGCTTCCTTTTTTTCTTTGACCCTCCACATTACCAAACATGCTATCATTCTCCAGCAACTGCTCCCTTCTGACAGTATGTCCAAAGTATGAGAGATGAAGTTTGTCCATTTTGGACTCTAAGGAGCACTCTGGCTACACTTCTTCCAACAGAGATCTGTTGGTTCTTTTGGCAGCCCATGGCATTTTCGATATTCTCCTCCAACACCGAAACTCAAAAGCATCAATTTTTTTTCTACATTCTTCCTTATTCACTGTCCAGCTTTCGCATGCATATGATGTTACTGAAAATACCATGGCTTGGGTTAGGCACACCTTAGTCCTCAAGCTCACATCTTTGCTCTTCAACACTTTAAAATTTCTTGGCAGCAGATTTGCCTAATGCAATAACGTCATTTGATTTCTTGACTGCTGTTCCATGTGTGTTAATAGTTGATCCAAGAAGAATGAACATTCATTGATAAGAATGTTGTTCACTGGTCCAGTGGTGAGGATTTTTGGTTTTCTTTACTTTGAGATGTAATCCATACCGAGGCTGTGCTCTTGATCTTCATCAGTAAATATTTTAAGTCCTCTTCATTTTCAGCATGCAAGGTTGCTTATCGCAGGTTGTTAATGAGTCTTCCTCCAGTTCTGATGCCA